TGACCGCTCTTGCACCCTCCCGACCAGCATGAAGTGTCTCGCTCCACTGTGGCCCGCTTCTATGCCGTGTCTGCCTCTACCCCTCTTACAGGACACATGGTGGCATTTAAAGCCCTCTTAGATAACCCAGAATAATCCTCTCAGGATCTCCAACTTAGTGATGTAAGGGAATGCTGATACAAGGGAGTAGGGAACTTTGGGGGCGCCTATGTCGATTGCTGTCATGCCTGGAGATCAGTATGTGGGAAGGTTCTGAGGCAACACAGAGCATCATATCTCAGCCCTGACAGTGACTGGAACTAGGGTGGGGTGCTAGGGATTGGCAGGGCTAGGGCTCCTACCAAAGGTATTGATGCGTACTCGAAGTAGTGAAAGGCTTTGAGTCAGGCAAGATTCCAAATCGTATTTGGTTTGCATAGCTGGACCTCAGTTTGGCGGGAACAGAGCTTGGTTAGAGGTTTTCAGAGAGTCCCGAGGAACGAATGGCACCGATGCTGCTGCCTTGGGTGGAAGGCAGCGGGTGAGTTTTTTGCTGTTCGTCTCTGCCTTGAACCTGGGTCCTGGGTGAGAATGGATAACAAGACATTTCAATATAGGACCCGGTGCTTGTGTCTGGAAGACATCTCTGGGTGCCTCTGTCCAAGAAATTGCTCTTTTTGTACAGAAGTACCTGAGCGTGATTTAACACCCACAGACACACCAAAGCTAACCAAAACCTCTAACATCACAGGGAGCTTTTCAGAATAAAATAACACAGGGAATAAAAACAGTCAAGGGAGCAAAGTCAGTCAGCATTCTCATAAAATCTAAATTCACACCAGCTAAGTGACACATCACTCTCCAAGGTGCCCAAGAGAAGGGGAGCGGCCCAGCCAGGTCCCCACCATGAGTAATCACAGAGACTCAACCTGGCAGGTAGCATCCAGGCTTCTGTGCCCACTGCTCCCTGCAGCCAATGCTCGCTACTGCACGCTCAGGCTTGGTGGTGGGACATGCTGTGGCTTATGGGGAAAGCAGGCCCTAGGCTAGTGCATATCAGACACTAGCCAATGTCCTGGGTTTGAATGACTGATCTTGTTATCTGTGACCAGACGTGTGACCGAATCAAGCAGTCGGCCAGCGGGACCAAGCGTCGGGTGTTCATCATTGAGACCATGGGCGGCTACTGCGGCTACCTGGCCAACATGGGGGGGCTGGCAGCCGGAGCTGATGCCGCCTACATTTTTGAAGAGCCCTTTGATATCAGAGATCTGCAGGTATGTCCCATCGACGCAGCCAGGACTCCATGAGCACCATGACAGTGTTGCACAAAAAAACCATAGTTGTTTCCCGTTTGCCTTTTGAGGCCTAGGGATTTCTGCTGTAAAACATTGCAAGTTATTTAATCCTCCTTCACCGTGTCTCTGAATCCAGATGTTTGACTTGAGTCCTGGGAGCTCCTTGAATGGGTGGCCAGGACTAGGTAGGGTTGAGGCCCCTCTTTACTGTGCTTGGAAACACAGGATATATTTTTAATCTGTAAATGATTACTTCTATTGAGAAATGTTTTCCCTCTATTTGGTGCAAGCCACCTAGACATTAGGCCTTTTTTGAAATAGAGTCACTTTCTTGGTTCCGTTTCCTGTTGTGGTAGTAAAATACCCAGGCAGGAGCAGCTCAAGGGGGCTTCTTTGACTCAGTGTTTCATATTACAGCCTATGCATGCTAGCATTTTTATACAGTTCAGAATCTCCTTCCCAGGGAGCCATGACACCCACAGTGTGTGGATCTTCCCTCCTCAATTAACAAGATAATTCCCCACAGACATGCCCACAGACCAACCTGTTCTAGAGAATTCCTTGAGAGTTTTTTAAGTGATTCTAGACTGTCAAGTTGACAAAACTGTCACAGTCGAGAACATAAATGTGCTCGCATTCGACAGACACATGGAATTCAGTATTTTAACAGGGAAACCCATTTATTTGGGGAAGCGTTTCTTGTGGTAGTTGTGAGTTTCGCTGACTAAGTACACCCCATAGTATAGCCTCACCTCTTTCACACAGCCTAATTGCTATGGATACCATCATTTGGCCACTGCCCCAAAAGCAGTGCCCCACAAAAGCTATCAAAGCAGCTCACCGTGCTTATCTGTACTCTAGCATTCTAGGAGGTGCCTAGGAGGTGGGCTGATTGAATAATAAAATACCCTTTTCTAGTCCAACGTGGAGCACCTGACAGAGAAAATGAAGACTACCATCCAGAGGGGCCTCGTACTCAGGTAATGGAAAAACAGTCCCAATCTTCAGCCCTACATTCTTCACATGGAGGTCCTTTGATGGAACCCATTGTTATGACCTAAAACCCAAGCAGCGTCTGCCTTTGCCTCTAATGCCGTGAATACTGAAAACACACAGAGGTGCAGAGCTGAACTGTTAAAAAACAGGCTTGCACTTAAGTAAAGGGTAATTGTTTTGTTGTAAGTTTTTGTTCTGTGGTCCACAATATTATTTTCAAGCTATCTGCCACTCATTTACTGAAGCCTCCTAGTCTTTACAGAGTCAGGTTAGGGATGGAGGTGGTGGGAGGGGGGATTGAGAGATGGCTGGGCCCTGGGCAGGTGGATGGAGGTTGCGTTCCTCTCTAGAAAGCCTTGATCCTGTCCCCACTGCCAGTGAATGACCCTGGTTCCTAAACATTCGTTTCAGAAATGAAAGCTGCAGTGTGAATTACACCACTGACTTCATCTACCAGCTATACTCAGAGGAGGGCAAAGGCGTGTTTGACTGCAGGAAGAACGTCCTGGGCCACATGCAGCAGGTAGGCTGAGGTCCTCCACACTACCCAAGCCTCCTGGGATCTCTTTTAGACTATTACCTTACTCTAGCCATTTTAGGGAAAATAAATGTAAATCAATTCCAGAATGATGGTAAAGATCCAAAATTTTAATGCATATCAAATGCCTTCAACTTTAGTGTTCTGTGTCATCTGTGACGTCTGGGGTATATGGGAACTCATTGCTGTGATCAAATACCTGACAAGCATTTAAAAGGAGGAAGGGTTTATTTTGGTTCAAAGTTCAGGGTACAGCCCATCATGGAGGGAAAGGCATGGTGGTAAGAGTATGAGGCAGCTGGTCACATGGCATCCACAGTCTGGAAGCAGAGAGCATATAGGAAGCAGGGTCGGGCTAAACCCTCCAAGGCACTCCCCCAGTGACTTTCTTCCTCAGTTAGCTCACCTCCAGCCCTGCCCCTAGCTGGGGACCAAGTGTTCAAAGGCTGAGCCTATGGGGAAGACATTCCACATTCAAACCACAGCAAGAATTTTTAAAAATTTATTTTTATTTTATGAATATGAGTGTTTTCCTTGCATGTGTGTAAGTACACCATGTGTGACAGTGCCCACGGAGGTCAGAAGAGGGCATCAGATCCCCTGGGATGGGAGTTATGGATGGTTGTTAGCTGCCACATGGTGCTGGGAATCAAACCCTGGTACTCTGCAAGAGCAGCCAGTGATCTTAACCACTGAGCCATCTCTCCAGCCCCCATAGCAGAATTTCTGAGGGAAACTATAATGACTTTGGTTACTGGAAATACTCAGATAAATTTGTTAAAACAAATATAGGCATTTGATCAGAATTAAGATGGGGTATTAGACCAGTGGTATATATCTGAGGTTTTCACAGACTCAGGATGATTTGAAAAGAATCTTTTTTTCCCCTCCAAATTGGGCAAGTGACCAACTATGGAGATACTAGCTCAAACCCCAGGCATATGAGTCAGTGAGTCCACAGGTTTTTATCGGTAAAAGAAGCTATGCTCTGTCCCCAACCCTGCTAAAAGTTTGAGAAGTCTAGAATACAGGGCTGGGGAAATGGCTCCATGGGTAAGAACACGTGCTCTATGAGCATGAGGACCTGAGTTTGAATCCCCAGCAAAACATTAAAGCAGGGCTGTGCTTGGAACTCCAGCACTGGGGCGATAAACAAAGGGAATGGAACCTAGCTGGCCAGGTAGCCTAGCAAAACCAGCATGCTTCCCGTTGAGATGCCCTGTCTGTCCCAAGGCAGTAAGGTACAGAGGGACAGAGGAAGACACCAGAGAGAGGCCTGCTCTGGCCTCTGCATGCAGTGTACAGTGTGTATGTGCAAACATGCATGCACCCCACACATACCAATACATATACCACACACACACGCACACACACACACACACCACACACACACACAAAGAAACCTGGATATAAAATTAGAAGGTAACAAAGTGGGCTCTTTGTTACTTTAGGAAACCACCACAAGGCTGCGTGGCAGGCTGACATCAGGCTGCAGGAATCACAGACATGTTTCCTTCTTGTATGATATACAAAACCAACGTGTCTTTGTGGATCTCTGAACACATGGATTTTGTTAAGTTTGAGTATTCTTCGTTGATTTCTTTGTAAAAACAGGAAAAAAATGACTGACTTATATTTCACATTCTCTTGCCCACCACAGGGGGGAGCACCTTCTCCATTTGATAGAAACTTTGGAACCAAAATCTCTGCAAAAGCTATGGAGTGGATCACCGGGAAACTGAAGGGATCCCTGGGCGCAGGTAGGTGGTTGGGAGGGTGGGAGCAGGGAGAGGTGTGGCTGCTGCTTCACCTAGACACTGTTACATAAGTGAGGGCTTTCCTTCTTTCCCTTTGTTGTTGAGATGCTCAGGATCCTGTCTAATCCCGCCTCCTCTTTGAGTACTGGCTGGTTATAACCTCCAAGGTCATAATTCAATGGAATTAATAAAACTTAATGTTTTATTTCTACTTTTAGAGATGGATGATGGTCAGATCATTTGGGAGCATTCTTATTTGTTAGCCAGAAAATTCATGGGTACACATTGAACTCTATTAACAAGACTAAAATGTGATTTTATTTATTTTCGTGGTGTCATGAAACACTTTGAACTCGCTTTTACTTTAACTGTTTGACACTTACTGATTTACAAGCACCTTGAAGAAGGGGAAAGAAACCCAATGCATGACTAGGAGGCATCTCTCGTTTTCCTCCCTAAAACCCCTGATGATGTCTTTCTTAACATCTGATTCCCTCCCAGCCTCAGGAGTTTCTGGTGATCAATTCCCTTGATAACGTCTAGAATTTCACTACCTATGAGCAAGTCTTCAACCGTGGAATTTCGCTTGACTTTACAGCTTGTGCAGCTGTGATATGCTTGTGGGACTCGGCTTCTGTGACTCCTGTTTTACATCTTGATGAATACGAAGGCCCACTAAACCATCACATGTTCTGTTTGCTGACTCAGTATGCCGTAGTGGCTGAGTCCCTGGTACTGTTGTGAGTCTACGCTGGGCCTCTGCTGAGCCAATTGTGCAAATCAGTTTCTCCAATCATTGCTCAGTGACAGGCACTCTGGATTCCCTTACACCCACCTGGCCCATGCCTGACACCCAGACTTATTAGATGTTGTTGGATTCACTCTGCAGTTCTTTGGGGCAAGCTTTGTTTCAGCAATGAATACCCTGTTGGTTGTCTCTGTTAGGCATCAGGGTCAAACTTGAAAGCAAGGAGGGGGGCTTCCCTTACAGGGTCTGTATAAGATGGTGGTTTCCCTTTCTGGATGTTGGATAGGATCTAAGCCCCCAGTTTTCTTTGTGGGAAGATTTGACTACTAAATGGATTTCATTCATGTTTATAAAACTACATATGAATTTCTCTTGAATTGCTTTTACAAGTTACATTTCCTAGAAAATGTTCAATTTAAGCCTTTGAACAATTTAGCGCAAAACTTCTCCTACTGTTCTCTCTACGGCCTGTTTGAGCCACCGTTCCCTCTTCATACTTTGCCAGTACTTCCACCAACCCTCTCTCAGAACCCATTGTTCATCATATCAGGTATATTTTTATTAGGGCAGGCCTGCACAGTATCCAACATCTGGCTTATAAAAAATGACAGCAGAATATAGAAGTGATTTAAATAGTTGCAGTCTCGATTTTCTTTCTTTTTGTTGATGGCTTTTCTACATCACTTTCTGCTTTTTATTTGTGTGTGTGTGTGTCTGTGTGAGTATATGCCACATGTGTGCGGGTACCCATGGAGGTCGGAAGAGGGCGTCTGATCTTCTGGAGCTCGAGTTATGGGCAGTTCTGAGCTGCCGAGGCAGGCGCTTAGAACCAAACTGAGGTCCTCTGGAAAAGCAGGACAGGTTCCTCACTGCTGAGCCATCGCTCCAGCCCCACTTTCTGTTTTTGTATTTCTTTTTTCTGTTTAGATTTCCTTTTCCAATTTGTCTGGGGATGCTTCTTGTAACTTTCAGCCTTTGTATGCATTTGTGAGCATTTATTATTTAACTGAAATCTTTCTGCAATTTAAATGACTTTTATTATTACACTATTTAGTGAAATATTTATTGGCCAGAACTGCACAAAATGCTCCTTTCCAGGAGCCCCTCCCCCCGGTGGCCATTGTATCATAGATGGACTAAATGTGAGTGGTAGGGAAATGGCTCACCTCAGTGTGTGGGAGATCAGGAAGGGCCCGTCAGTCTAGGCCTCTCTCCCCAGGCCTGCAGGGACCTCAAGGGAACAACAATTCTGCAATCTATGCTGGTAATGGATCTGCCAGGCTGTCAATGCTGATGCTCCCCACCCAGGGGGATTCTGGGGAGTTGACTTCTCTCCTCACTCCATGTTTTGTGCTGACGTTTCCTAATCCTCTCACTGTTCCTTCCTAAGCTGTTTTATCTGTCGACTTGGTATTGATGAAGAAACAGTTCTTAAGACTTTTTTTTTTTTTAATTCCACAGGGAAAAAATTTGTTAATGACGATTCCATTTGTGTCCTGGGAATAAGCAAAAGAGACCTCCTTTTTCAACCAGTGGCAGAATTGAGGAAGGAAACAGATTTTGAGTAAGTCAGTGAAGCATTTGTCATCTGAATGTAATCGTTGGAAGGAATGATGTGATAGGTGTCTTGAGAATAGAACAAACTACCTAGGTATTGAAAGGAACTCACTTACTGAACTATCTTAAATAACAATAGGCTTTGCTGGCCAGTTAAAAAACCACAGCAACAGACTTTTAGAAACAGGGCAGATGTTTTATAAATACAGAAATAGTGTGAAAATTGCTCTGTGAGGTCGGATATGATGGTGCAGACTTATAATCCCAGCACTTTAGAGGGTGAGTTAGGAAAATTCAGAGTTCAGGGTCAGACTGGGTGAGACCTGGCCTCAAAAAGCATAAAAAGGGCTGAGGACATAGTTCAGTGTGGAGCACTTACTTAGATTCTATCTCCAGTATAACACACACCACACACACGCACACACGCACACACATACACACACACACACACACACACACACACACATTCCTTTATCAAGCTGGGCATGGTGGCACATGCCTGGAATCCCAGCACTCACCAGGCTGAAGTATAATGGTTACAATTTTGAGGCTAGTCTGGGCTATATAGTTGGATGAAGTCTTCCAGTGCAAATGTGATACTTAACTACTTCCTTGTCCTCCTGACAGGCACCGGATTCCCAAACACCAGTGGTGGCTGAAACTTCGGCCTCTCATGAAGATCTTGGCCAAGTATAAGGCGAGCTACGACGTGTCTGACTCTGGCAAGCTAGAGCCCTTGGTACGCCACCACCAACACCACCATACCCCCCACGGGGAGCCTGCAGCCATCTGAAAGCAGCATGCCATCGGTGGACCTACACACTCATCTAGAGAGGCCTGGAACTTTCCAGGGACCATCTTCTTTTGTAACATTTAAATTATTTATCTGCACTTTATGCCAAGTATTGTTGACCAAGTATCGTTGACCGTAATACATAACCAGAGAGAATGCCACTTGCTGTCATCACTGACCCCAGTCAGACCTTGAGATGCCCCAGCCTCATGTACTTGACCCAGCATCAGTTTTCTACGGTGCCCTGTACCATCTTACGCTTTCATGTGTCTATCTAGTGGAATTAAACATTTGGTTACAACTCCCACAGTACTCAGTTGATTGTTTTGGGTAGGAGTTGAAACTTCAGGATTATTTCTGTGTGGCTACCAAAGGTTTTCTCACACTTTTTGTGGGCAGGGGTTTGCAAGATCCTTTACAGATAACTTGTAGCTTCAGAAACCACAAGTGCAGACCCGTCAAAGGAGGGGACAGACAGCCAGTGCGGTGACAAACAGCAGCTCTGTCTCATTAAGTGAACACAGACCTCTCCTTTGGTGTTGCTGAAATTCACATAAACACCTGGGGGGATAGTTCAGGGGACCAGTGTTTGATCCCCAGAACCCCCACCCCCCACCCCAAAGCCAGGTGTAGTGGTGGACTTGGCAGTCCTAGCACTGGGTAGGCAGAGACAAGATAAACCCTGGCTCCCTGGCCAGCCTGCCTAGCCTGCTTGGCGAGTTCCAGGCCAGTGAGAGACCCTAGAAACAAAACCAAGAAAAAGGTGGACGACACATGCTAGACATCCTAGGGAGTCTTCTGGCCTCCACATACATGCATGTGCACCCATGAACACATGCACACAGACACACAGGAACAGTACTGCCCAGGTCCCTGAGCGTGGTACCTCTAATGATTGTGCAGGTGGCAGAGAGTGTTTAACTCTAGGCTCATCATCTGATTTTGTTTTTTTTAACTTGGCTAGCCTGGAACTTGCTAGTAGCCCAGGCTAGTTTTGAACTCACAGAGGTCTACCTTACTCTGCCTCCCAAGCACTGGGATTAAAAGCAAGCCCAGCAAGGTTCATATTTTAAATTGCGAGATCAAGTGTTATTATTAAAAAATGACCAGTATTGGAGCTGGAGAGATGGCTCAGTGGTTAAGAGCATTGACTGCTCTTATAGAGGACCTGGGTTTGAGTCCCAGCACCCACATGGCAGCTAACAACTACCTGTAACTCCAGTTCCAGGGGATCTGATGCCCTCTTCTGACTTCTGTGGGTACTGCACGACATGGGTGCACTTATGTGTGGGCAATACATTCATACACTAAAATAAATTTTAAAAAGTAGCATGCCAAATTAAAAAAGACGAGCATGAAGATTAAGAACAAAGTATCAGCTGGGTGTGGTGATGCATGCCTTTAATCCCAGCACTTGGGAGGCAGAAAGACCCCTGTGAGTCTGAGGCCAGCCAGGGAAAGGCATCTTGGGCTAACAACCATCTGAAACCTAGATAACTAGGGGATCTGATGCCCTCTTCTGGCCTCCAGGGGCATTGTATTGTGGGGTGCTTCACTAGAGATCACTCAGAAAGTTTCGCGGATGAAAGTTGCTACTGGCCAGGGCTATACAGAAGGGTGTCGGGAACCACAGTGTGTAGCACTGAGCAATCTCTAGGCTGAGCTTTTATACAGAAAAACTATAACCAGGCGTGAAAAGTTGAAGTTCCCAAGCTCTCAGGTAGAGAGCCCCCTTAACGGTTTCTATTCTATTAAATAACAATTACTATTTTGCAGAAGTCAGCCAAGCATAACCTACAGAAGCCATAAATTCACAGTTGGCAGGTGCACCCTGGGACACTCTGACCTATTCCCAAGACAACTGGGGTCCAGCTGACATGTGTTCCCATACCCTGGGCCAACTGCCTAATAATTTCAGAGACTAGAGTCAGCCTAAACTTTAACATGGCACAGCTGTGGTCAAGAAGGTGCCCTATTACAACTGTACATCGTGGGTACACTTACACAGATGTAGGCAAAACAATCGTACAAATAAAAATATTTAAAACAACAACAAAAAAGAGCAAGGCATCTTTTCCTGTCAATTTAGCCCCCGTTGTACATTAAAGTCACCAGTGGGGATTTGGAGGAGAATCTGATACCAAAATATCCAAAACCAGTCAGGGAGCTGAGTGCAGCCTGGATTCCCACCCTCTGAAGGGTTCTGACTCACGGCTGAGGGGCAGTGATGTAGCTCTAATGACAGCCCCTCGGAACTGATGAGTCCTCTGCAGACAAAGCACCCTGCCTCTCGTCCCTTGGTGTGTGCCGTCACTGCTACCTAAAGGCAAAGTCCAGACATTGGCACGGCAGGAACAAGGAAGAAAGGGAGCTGAAAAATCGTGGTGTTTGGGAAACTTGACAAAGTGGTAAGGGGAGAACAGATGCCAATTCTTCTTCCCTAGGAAAGGCTGAGTTAACGCTGACACGCCTAGCTCTCTGCTCACGGGGCTGTTCTGCTACTCTGACATCTGGGCACACATTCCTGCAAAGCTGTGGTTGGATCACATGCAACATGGCAGACCTCTACCATTCACTCTCCGGTTTTTTTCTTTTTTTTTTTTTTTTTACACAGGGTTTCCCTTTAACCCCAGG